GGATTGTGGGGCGAGTTGAGAAGAATTAGTTTTTCTTGGCAAGCAACGTTCACATAATGCCACCCCAGAGTTGCTCTTTCACATCTCTGGAGTCTATCGAGTTCACTGTCATCTTAGATGTTTCTCCTAACATTCCTGAGACGAAACAAATATAGTTGACATCCAGTGAGACTTGAACTATAAAATTAATGTGGTCACCAGCTCAGATCAATTACTCTTGGGGGAACTTCATGAGAAATGCTCGAGTTCATATTGAGATATCTGGTTTATGATGCAGGCTTGGCGAATCTGAGCACAGTTTGAGATCTCTTGAAACTCTAGGAGATGCATAGGAGATTACTGGAGTGTTTTTCTCAGGAAATCGGAGAATCATGGGCCGGATTCATGACTTCTTAAAGAAAGACGTTAAAGTCTTGCCGATCAACTCAATGGGCCTCATTCATGAAACACGAGCAGAATGATTTTTTTGTGTAAATCATTCGAAAAGTTGTTCTGATGTAAATTGATTCATGAAAATGTTTGTATTTTGAAAATGTTAGTTGGTACGAAAGAAATTTACACCTGCTCCCTACCATGTGTAAATGGTGCATATAACATTCAAACGTTCTGTATTCTTTTAGACAAACTGATGACACTGCATTTTTATGAACTATGTATTAGAATGATATTTAACGAGTTCATTTGCCCTGTCTTTTTTACGTTTTTTACTCTTTAATTTTGGGTAAAACAGTCTATGGGTAAAACGCAGAGCTCGTTACTGTCCCTTTTTACACAGCCGTCCAATCACAGTGGAGGAGGGGCAGGACAAACATTACATTGACCAACCATGATCATACTTGTGCAACACAACAATGGAGACGTTAATATTGCTGGTTACTGCATTTTTATACTCAGTAATATGCTTCGAAATAAGATACTCGTAACATGTTACTGCTGTGAATATTCCAAATCATAGCAAACAACGTGTCACTCCAGAAAAATGCAATGCCTCCAAAGCTCTCTCAAGCACCACCAGCTGGTCGCTTTCAGAAGAGCACAAGGCATTATGTCAGCTGGCTAAAAACGCTCTGGTGGACACACGTTAATTTATTCATTTATTGTTAGGCATATAGCCTATTAGTCTCTTATGCATTTATGCTATATAACTTACCAAACCTGAGAATTGAGTCCAAGGATTCCACACCATTCCTAGATACGTAGTTTGCGTAGCTGTAATTCATAGGCGGGGAATAGCCTATGCTAATTGTGAATGAGCGTGCATTTTTTTATTTATTTTTTTCTAAGATGGCGCCGACGCTGATGGCTGCCTCCGTGGCGTGCTGCGCAGTTGTTTTTATGTTTTTGTTAGTTTGTCCTGTCTTTAGTTATATCCCTGCAATCAGTTTCACCAGAGAGGGAATTCCCCTCTAGGTGACTCTTGTGAGAGGGCAAGCAGCACGGACTGTGCTTTCACAGGTCTGCTACTGATCCTTGGCTGTTTACCACAAACACAACATTTATCTATTATGTTGATTTCAAATTTAAACATTGTCACTGAAAATGCTTTTTCAGCATTGCAATT